GTGGGGTTTATTTGCATCTCAATTTATGTCTCAGCCMATTGACCATAATTAAAAATGGAATTTAGTACTCTCCAGAGTCCTTGCTGGAGACTTTCACCTTGTAGAAGAAAGGGGATTTAAAATGATGATTTATTGAGCTCATGTACAGTCCCCTGAGTGTACTGTGGCAYTGAGCCAAAAGAAAGCTGAAACGATGTCCAGTCTGGCAACCACTTGCACCATGAGTAGAATAAATCCTATGCCTTGACTGAAACTCTGTCTTGTTCCAGCCAAATTTGCTTGAATTCCTGATGTGTGTGGACACTTGGTAGCCTGAAGTTGAGGTTGTAGAAGATGGTGGCTGCTTACCAAGGCAGTGTGCCTTTAGATGTTAGACCTTTTATCTGTGTGTTGTCATGATGTGCCTTAGGCTGTGCCTGTGGAAAGTGCTATAAATGATTTCTTACAGTTACCACAGTCCATCTTCAAGAGGCAATTGGAAATGATGTTCAGAATGACAGATCTGACATTTGATCACTGCTCTTTGATTTCTTTTCAGATTTTAGGACTTTATGGTACTAAAGTCAAACAGAAATACAGTCATAAATCTGGCAGAGTCTTTACTTTCTTGCTTTCTTCTCCTCTGCTAAGTCAGAGAGAAAAAAAAGGAAGAAATACATGGCCATGTACAGTTACTACTACAACATAAAAAAATTTCTTTGAGATGATTATCCTGTGGGAAGAGATAGCAAGCCTTTGTTATTAAATCTGTTAGGGTAAGATTTCAGGATCATGATGTGTTTTGAAACATTTCTAGGTGCTTTACTGCTTTCATAGATGCTCTTAAAAGTGTGCTCGTTTTTTGACTTTGAGTTCTTTGTACTAATGAGAGATCATCCTGTAATACTCTCAGTAAAAACCTGTCTTATTCATACAAAGCACCTTTGTCTTCAGCTCAGAGTGATGCCATGCAATGTACTCCACAGGAAAAGAGCAAAGATTCAGACAAAAGGATGCAGCTGTCTAGATCTGTTTCTGTTGGAGGAAGGGTGTTGTGGGTTAAAATTCTTCTCCTTTTGTTCCCTTTCTTTGGGAATTTTTTCTTTCCCATTTGTTGCTGGGATACATTAATTGTCGGTCATCCTTTTAATGGCTGGGTGATTAATAAGGACAATGATACCTATGCCACACCCTAACAGTCTGGCCAAGCGCTGGGAGAGAGTTTTTTGGTGTGGTGGGGGGGGATTGGCAGTTTGTTTTCGCTGCTTCGCTGAGAGGAGTTCTGCTTCCTGGCTGCTACAGAGAAAAGCTGGCCTGCCTTCTTTTCTGCGGAGACCAGTACCCCTGCTCATTGGGTTCTTGCTTGCTGCACCGTGGTTTTCTCTCCTGTGCCTTGCCGGGGATCCCAGCTTCAGGGGTGAACCCTGCTCCATCCTGTCTCGCAGCCACGGGATTCCTGCTCATCTCTTTGCTGTCCTGGGTTTCTTGCTGTCCAGAGGAGCACCGAGATCGACGTTTTCCGCCCTGAGTTTTGCAGAGAGACTTTTCTCCATCCACCTCTGCCATTTTGTATCAACCATTGGCGCCGCGGGAGATCTGAGCCAGCCGGGACCCGCGCCACCACATCCCCTGCAGCCTCCGGAGAATCATCGCACCCACCCTGCCCAGCCGGGAGCCAACAGCATCCCTGCCAACGGGACTTTTAACTGCACCAAGGGAGAGGCTGTGTCTCTGTAAGGCTGTCACTGGGTTTGGGACTGGGCTGGTTGTTGCTATTGTTATTGTTACTTGTTTCACCTTGTTATATATATATATTAGTAAAAACTGTTGTTCCCTTTTACCCATATTCTTGCCTGAAAGCCCGTGATTTTTCAAAGCTATAATAATTCGGAGGGAAGGGGGGGTCATATCCACCACTCCAAGGGGGGTCCCTGCTTTCATTAGCAAACACCTGTCTTTCAAACCAAGACAAAGGGATACTGGCAGAAGGGTAATTTACTGGGACTAAATTTTCTGATTTCTGCAATATCATTATTGCAGAAATTTCTGATGTCCAGAATGAAATCTGATCTGAAAAAGGGAGAAGGGAGAAAACCCTACCACCTTAGAGAAACTGCTTGTAAGAGCATAAGATTGTTGATGGCAAACCCAGCTCCAGGGCCCCAATTCAGGCATGGTGAAAACTTGCACTGGTTCAGTGACATCCACTCTGTACAGATTGGATATTTATTGCTATTACTCACTGAACCCTAGTTGCATAGTTGTTTCTGTTCATAATTTGAACTCCTTGTATATTACGCTTGTTGTAGTGTCCTTCAATCATTTTTTTTTTCAATTAATGAAGCTGTGCTGTATGTATGCTATGATTTGCCAGCGMTGGTTTTTCAGGACTGTGAAATGTCTTTAGCCTATACCACTTCCTCAGCATAGCRGCCTTGTGGTGTCAAACAGCGATTACATGTGAAGTCTGCGTGTAGAAATTACATCCCTTGGCAAATCCACTTTCATTAGGGTCATGCAATTGATACAAAAAATGTACAGTTTCCTTGACTTGAAGGATTTTTCAGTCTGTCTCAAATCTGATCCTCATTGCATCTTTTGACTTCTTAGAAATCAGAAATACTTAAACACATTTTGTGGGCTATGTCATCAATATATGATTCAACACAGGACACAATACATTTGGGTAGACTGAAAGACAAAGAAACGGGTTGTCTAAATAGGCTAAAATAGTACTTCTCCAGATTGTACTTGGCGAAATACTAATTATTCTCTTGATGTGCTCACGCCCCAGACAGTCTGTGCTGTACTTATGAGGCAGAACTGTCTTGTCTCTGTCTTACTGAGGACAAATGCCACAGACTGTTGCCTTCATTTTTGTAGTGTTGTGAGCAGAAGGGACTGAACATGTGGCAAAATTAGTAGCTGGATAGCATTCATAATTTTATCCTTACTTAAAGATAAATGGGTATGTGAAATGTATTTCCCAGAGCTGTGGTGAGGGGGAAGTGACAGTTTCACCACTAAAATTAAGCAGAACCCCAGCAAGCAATAAAGGCATTTATTGCCAACATTCATCAAAGTCAGTAGGAAACTTACCTTTTGACTTGAAAGGGCATTGGACTGAACCCTGCAAGATCATATTCAAACCTGAAGTGACTGAGTACATCTTCTTGCCATACTGCAATAATAAAGAGAAAAAAATGATAGGTGGATTTCAGTTTAATCCACTGCATGCATTTTAATTGTTCTGTGTTCCATAGAGTTGGATTAGTTGGCAATTCACCTGATTTGTGTTTGACTGTTGCTGTATGGCATGCTCTTTTATAGTCCTGTTTCTCTGTATGTTAAGTCTTCATACGCTGATACAATGCTCATTTAAGTTAATATGCTTGATTTTCTGTGACAGCAAAGCTAGCAGCTTCTGTGAGTTATAGTGTTGTTAGTCTATTTAGTAGTCTCAATATGTTACAACTCCTACCCTGATGATGGSACTGTTGAAGGTGCCGAGAGGATTAAGAATGGTGCAGATCATGCAGTCCTTTTTATGGGACTGAGAAGAGGTCAAGCTACCCCCACTGCTGCTACGTCTGTTGATGATCAGTGTTCTTCACCAAGAAAGCACAAATTTCTCCAAACAGTGTACAGTCTAAACTTCAGGGTKCTGGCAGACATTGGTATTAGGGTAGGGAATGTAAGGGCTGGCCAAAGGCTTCAAGGTGCAGGAGGGTAAATGTCATCCAGCCTGATACCTGTTGTTATTCATCGAACTAACCGATGATTTGGGAATTTGGTTAGCCACTAATCTTTGACTTCAGAGGTCTGTAGACAGTCAACATATTGGAGAGACTAAATGGTTGTCTTGAAACCGATCAAGCAGGGTGGTCTGAAAGCCAGTCAGTACCCAGGTTTCCCACATCTGGAAGATGTAATTTAAATGGCATTGCTTCTCAACTGCTTCTTGTGGCTGGTGGGCTGTCTTCAGAGAAGCAAACTAACCAGTGCAAGGCAAAGTTGAGAGTTGGTGCATTTGAAGATTTGTTGTGCTTAATTATGGGGTTTATTTATTGCCTCAATTTCATCTGCGCTGGATTCATGCTATGTTTTTAAGTAACTAAAATTTAAGAGGAATGTTTACCTATGAAAAGGTAAAGTGTTTTCACTTGGGTTTTCTAGTAAATTGGATTTTGGAAATCAGGACTCAACAGAGCACAATGAGCATTTTGTCCTGGCACAGCAATCTGATTTTAGGCATTGCATGTTGTGATAAATGGTATGAATTTTGTGTCTTGGGCTCCAGCAACAAGAAAATACAATCCTTTTGTCATATCAGCCGAATAATAGGGCACATACCTGGTTTGAAGCCTATAATGAGCAACTGAAAAACTTTCTCTTACAAACTGAAAGTGTTACAGTGCTGAGGGTRAATTGTGAATTTGCTTTGAGAAATGTACGGGAAGATGGATTTTGTTACCCCTGCATGTTTGTAATCATATGTTATAGCCACATTAGTAGCTTTACTCATCCATTCATTTCACTGATGCTGCAAAACAAGGGAAGATGGAGTTTCCTGTTCTTTCAATGAATGGAGCTCACTGGARGTGGTCTTAGTAGTCAAAGTCTAGGATTTAGAAACACCAGAGATTAAGATTATTTGCTCTTTGCTTCTGCAGGAATAATGGAATCAGTATCTAATTTCTTTTTTAAGAAAATACTTTATTGAAAACCACTTGATTTATAGATGGGCAAAGTATTCCACTGTTTCTGTGGATTGAAAAGTAGATCCCAAAAGAATAACATTCTTAATTTTTTTTTTAAATCTTCTGACTTGTTCATTATAATGTGCTTATTCCTGTTTGGACTGGAGAAGGATAAAGTAGAGAAAACTGTCTGCTGTATTGAACCTGGTTTAATTGCATATTAAATTAAATTATCTAGTTTAATTGAATGTATCATTGTTGTAGATAGAAACTTGCTTAGCTGTATGCATATGTGAAATATCTATTTGTTTTCTTGTACAGAAAAGAGTCAAGGACGTCATCTCTCCAATTGTATTTGAAGCTGCCTACAGCCTTGGGGAACATGTGATAGAAAAAGGAAAAGAGGACAAGGAACTACCTGCTCTCAAGCCCATTCTTCGTTGGAAGAAAGGACAAAAGATAGCACAAAGAAATCAGGTCAGATTTGGACTATGTTATTTCCCAAGAAGGCCTGTGTCTGAACTGACAGCAGAGGTGGCTCTAAAAGGGGATTGCCAAGCTCTGGGTCATTTGTACACAGTAGCCTTTTTGTACAATCTCTAGTATTGCTAACTTCAGTGCTGCTCTGTGGTGTCACAAAGACTTGTGCCTCCAAGGCCTGACAGCACAAGGTGAGGTCACTTTCTTATTTCAGGCTGTCTGTGCTGGGAAGAAAAAGATGAGAAAAGTCATACTCCTTCTGATTCTTTCCTTAATGTAGGAGGTTCTTGTAAAAGGCTTGGTCCTGGCTTTCTTTCCACGTTAAGCCTTTGTTAGTGCAGAAGGGGACGTAGGAACTGTCTGAGGGAAGAACAATGGGCAGAATAACCAAAAATTTGCCTGAGTTAGCTGTCCTGTTTTTTTGAGGTCTTCTCACATCCAGTCATGTGTTAAGGGAAACCTGCTCCTGCTGTTATTGTAGGACATGCCATGCTAAAATAGGATGGTTTTATTATAGAGAAAGTAAAGTGTAGGTGGAACCATGTAGTTACTAGGATCTTACTTTGCTTCACTGCAATGGAGAGAAACCCTTTTGTCTTTAGTTTTGGTGAGAGTAAGAGATTTCCCTTAATGTTGAAACAATCCTCATTTAAAGAGTAAAATTATTATTATTATAGTATTTCCTTCTCTCCCCCTTTCTCACAGATTGTTCCCTAAGGGAGTAAAGTGTATGTGATTATCCCACCTCTCTTGTTTGCCTGTCTTGATCTCACTAGCATCTTTGGAAAATGCAGGCAAATGTTGTGAGGTTATGACAGATGTGATCAAGACCATGCTTATGAAGGTATTAAACACTTTCAGGGTTCATGAAGAGGGTGCTCTTGTTGAAAAGAGAGACTGCTACTGACCTCTTGAAAAGCTCCCTTTTAACTATAGTCTGCAGATGCAGAACAGTGATCCTGCAGGACAATTCAAACTTCCACTGGGTCAGCACAGGAGCATCCAGCCATGAATTCAAGTTTACTCAGGGAAATCAAACTTCTTCTGTGGCGTACAAAGCTTCTTGTGTGTCAGAATTGCAGGGTAATTTAGACTGGAAGACTCCTCTGTAGATCCAGTTCCTTGCTTAAAGCAGAGCTAACTTAAAAGTTAGATTGAGTTCCTCAGGGATCATATAAATTCAAATTCATTTTCCAAAGCATGCTTACAGTTATGAGCTGGGATTGCTTGTAAATGTGAAACTTCTCCCCTCCCCTCCCCTCCCCTCCCCTCCCCTCCCCTCCAGACCATTACTAGGCATGCGTCAAGAGTTAGGATGTCCCAATTTACTGGTGCAGCTGAAGGCTGAGTAACTTAGTACAGCTGTCAGTAGTTGGGTAGGTGGTATATTGAAGATTAATTGACTTATGCCTAGGTACGTTGAAGTCCTTGGGAGCCTTCAGGGATCAGTCTAATTGCTGTGTTCCATATGAAATGTCTTGCCACAAAACTCCTTTCTCCTTGGGCAGGACAAGCTCTCAGATTATCTTCTCTTCTTGCAGAGACCCACCATGGGCCATCCTTCCTGCTTAAATTGCAATTGATTTCCCTTTAGTTGGAGTGGTATTGCTGAAAACGATTTATATTCCTCCTTCTGCCATCCCTTTGGTGGTGTCTCTTTTGCTCTCGAGTTTGGTCAGTACTGGTGCTGCATGGCAGGGACTGGAATCTGCTCATGCCAGGAAATCTGGGAAGGACCCACCTGGAGCATGGAATTTTGCCCTTTTGATTTTGGGGGGCACTGCTTGTTTGGTGGGGAGATTGTARTTTTTGGGGTTTTGCTTTTTGTTTCTTGGTTTTTTTTTTGTTGATTGTCAATAATGAGGAAAGATTTTAAGCTCCTGGTAAAATTTCAGAACTGAAGGAGAACAGCAGGTATCCAGATATATTATGATTGTACCTCACTGAAGTATGAATGAGTGGAAATCAGTGCCTCTGACTGTATGCATATTTCTGTATACACTTGTTCTCAAGCTATGACAGGSTTGACCAATAATTGTCCAATTTGTTCAACTTTTAGGTGAAAAACAACATAACCAAGAATGTATAATACATGGTTTGACTCCCACATTTAGATCTCATAGACTTCCTAAGGAACAGTAGCACAATACACTAATATTATGCTAATATCACATGCTAATATCACATGCTAATACACACACAGAGACGTACTTTCAGGTCTTGGCATATGTGCTTAGGGAACGTCAGACTTCATGGTGATCCTGTCTTAGGTGATGGGCTGTGAATCATCTGATATAACTTACAGGTTCTTCAAATAAATAGTTAGTTAAAGAAGAGGTAACCACACAAGCATTTGCAAACTGAGTCAGTTTATTGAAATGTTACTGGGCAATTTCTGCAGTTTGGCACAACAGCATGCATTTAGTTTCTAAGCTACAATGTGGATGGAGAATTGTAAGGAAGGGAAGTTCCTGCTTCTGCTTGGAGCTATAATAGAAAATTGTAGTATTCTTAAAAGCCACAGAGGCAGGTGACAGATGTTAAGAAGATAGGCTCCATTAGCTCTGTTCCTATCTTTTTAATGGTTATATGAAGGACCAGTTGGAATACCTAATGTCTTGAGAAAATACAATGATAGTATTAGTTTGTTTAGTTTTGAGTGCCTCAGTGTCACAAAAGATTTGTCAGTTCAGAATAGCATTCATAAATACAAAAACATTTAAGTGCAGGTAGATTACAGAGCAAGACTTTCACATGTCTTTAGGGGTCTAAATGAGGTAAATGTAGACCTAAATTACATATCTGATGATGTGGAGAATTTTTTTTTCATTTCCAGCTGACAAAATAGCTGCCACATCTGCCTTTCATTTGTCACTTGTTATAATGCTTTTAATTTTTTAATTCCACAAGTGAGTAATGACTACTGAAGGGGTTAACTGCTGTGTTAAAATGTTTAAGTATGAAAGCATGCCAAGTTAAAACTATTCATTTTACACAGTTTCACTTTTAGTAGAAGAAATTAAGAGGTTTATAGTAGAAAATGTTCTCAGATATCATAAAAGAACCCTCCTGAAATTATATAATTGAATGATTCTGTAGTTATCCAAAATAAATGGAAGACCAATTAAGTGAAGACAGGAAAATATATAGAGAAATGTGCTGCAGAAATCCATTCTATAACAGTATGGATAGGTGGGACAATAACACTGACAGGTCTTTCTGTTGTTCTATGCATTTGTAAGGTCTGAAGTCTTGTAAAATGAGAAYACTATTTGGATTATTTGAACTGTTAAAAGTTTAAAAGAGAAAATATTTCCTCAGCCTGAAAATTGAGACTATAAATGTAGCTAATCTCTGAAAGGCTGGACATATATTTCTATTATGACCAGCTACAGTTCTTCATCAGAGGAGAATATGAGGACTAGAGATTGAATTGTGAAAACCAGTCACTGCTTTGGAGTATAATAATACATGTTAATGTAACTGATTTATTGATTGCCTTCAAGAACTAACATGCCTGATCTTTTGTAAACAGCTGCTTTCATTCGGGAGTTCCTGTTCTTCTTACATTTGAATGTCCTCACTCCATTTAAGCCCAGGTTTTAACACTGAAAGCAGGATGCAGCTGAAATGGGGAACAAATGATTGTATTTGGCTTAGATGACTCGACAAGTGGCAATGTGCTAGTCTTCCACTCAGTGAAATGGATGAATTCCCCTGTAGTTTGCCTCAGCTGGACTTGGTTTCATTTACAGTCCTCCCCACTTGCAGCACAGCATGGGGGTGTTGTTACCAAGGTGCAGGACCCAGCACTTGGTCTTCTTAAAGCTCACACCATTCCCCTCAGCCCATTCATCTAGCCTGTCCAGATCCATATGCAAAGCCCTCCTACACTCCAGCAGATCAACATTCACTCCCAACTTGGTACTGTCCACAAACTTACTTAGGGTGCACTCGATTCCCTTGTCCAGATCATCAGTAACTGTGTTTAACAGGACTGGTCCCAATACTGGAGACCACTAGTGACTGTCCACCAACTAGATGTAATAACATTCACCAGCACTCTCTGGGCCTGGCCATCCAGCCAGTTCTTAAACCAGCAAAGCATGCACCTGTCCAAGCTATGGACTGCCAGCTTCTCCAGGAGAATACTATGGGACACAGTATCAAAGGCTTTGCTGAAGTCCAGGTAGACACATCCACAGCCTTTTCCCCATCCACTAGGTGGGTCACCTGGTCATGAAAGGAGATGAAGTTGGTCAAGCAGAATCTGCCTTTTCTAAACCCATGCTGGCTGGGCCTAAGCCCTTGATTGTCTTGTATATGCCATGTGATCGTACTCTGTATGATCTGTTCCATAAACATGCCAGGCACTGAGGTCAGGCTGACAGGCCTGTAGCTTCCCGGCTCTTCCTACCAGCCCTGCTTATGGATGAGCATCACGCTGGCCAGCTTCCAGTCAGCTGGAACTGGTGGACTTCCTGGACTTCCAGTTAGCCAGGATGATGATTAATGATGAAGAATGGCTTGGTGAGCCAGCTCCCTCATCACCCTAGGATGGATCCCATCTGGTCCCATGGACTTGTGAGCATCTGTGTGGCTCAGCAGGTCACTTACAACTTCCTCCTGGATTACAGGAAGTCTATTCTGCTCCCCATCTCTGTCTACGAGCTCAGGGGCTCGTTGCCTTGAGGATAACCAGTCTTATTGTCAAAGAATGATATAAAGAAGGCTTTAGGTACCTCAGCTTTTTCCTCAACCTTGGTGACTATGATCCCCTTGCATTCAATAAAGAATGGTGATTTTCATTGGCCCTTCTTTCATTGTTTATGCATTTATAAAAACATTTCTATTATATTTTATGGCAGTTGTCAGATTAAGTTCAAGCTGAGCTTTCACCTTTCTAATTTTCTTTCTGCATGGCCTAATGGCATTTATGTAACCTTCCTGAGTTGATTACCACTTCTCTCAAAGGTCATAAACCTGAGTTCCAGTGA